AATATTAATCTGTATGTTCAGCGTTTAACATTAGCATACTGTGGTTGAAAACTGCTTGCACTTCATATATATTCTAAATATTTACACATTTTAATGAGCATATTGTATCTGTAGCACACCCTTAACATGCTATATAAACATTTATACATAGATCTGTTTTCTTAGTTAGGTGTCATTTTCAAATCAGCATTTGAACCTAACAGCCAATGATAGTCATTGAGACACCATGAATTCTTGTTTAATTTCTCTGTTGACTTTCGTTATCTGGTAGCCATAAATTTTACCACCATCTGGTGATATTTTTGAAAAGCTTTGCATCATAACAGTAATATAAAAGTTCTTTCTATTACACTTTATTTGTGGGTATACATTTATACATGAAATGAGAATATATTAGCCTGTAAGAACTTGTTTAATACAGCGGCAAATTGGGCCTTGCACAGTCTATTTTCTCTTTCTAGATTAAAATTCTTTTGAATCATGAAGGTTATAGAGTAACTCTGGGCTAGTAATTACTATTCAACTTAATCTACCTCAAAGAACATCATATGGAGACCACACAGAAGTTCATTCAATCACTACTAATTGTGATAGCTGCAGATGATGCAAGAAAATGTTCTATTAGTGAAGTTGTAAGGCTCTATTGTGAAGTTTTCAGGCATCTTTTATCACAGGTGTTGTATTGATACATCACAGGTGTTGTATTGATCCATCAAGTCTCTATATATTCTTATATCCTAAATTAGTGGTGGAAGACTGATATGAAATACAACAATTGCTTTTCTTATTCTTATTTGTTAGATTTTTACCCTCCTTCCCTTTAAGAGCTCGAAGTACTATAGATTTCATGTCCAAACATAACTTGGCAAAAGTTCTATAAAATAGATTGGGCTGAAAGTAAAAAAAAAAAAAACAGTTCAAAGTTACACAGCAAATATTATTAGCGGGCATTTAAACCTAGATCTCCTGTTCCCAAGTTCTAAAGTTTACTGCATCATAGTAATTTATATAAAAATAATCAAGTCTAGGTCATATGAATGGATAGCACTATTTCATGAACTTTATAGATAATGTAATACAATATTATTCATTGTATTTTTATATTTCTGACCCCAGCAATTACTGTCAGCACTTTACATCATAAAAATATAAAACATGACTTTCAAAAAACACTAAATGAAGATAGAGACAAATCTACCATAATATAATAGATACAATCTCTGTGGAGATTCTCAGTCTTCAAGGCTCTTCTTACTCAAGGAAAGAACTTTGGCAAGTTGCTTTTTGAAAAAGCACTTTTGAGACAATAGTGAAGATTCAGTTCCTAAGACTTTCTGGAAGAGGTTTGCTTTTAGTAACTTTTGATGTGCAAACATTCAAGGTGCTGTTAATCACCCATAAAGCCCTACATGGTAGTGGATCTGGATACTTGAGAGACCGCCTTCTGCCAATTACCTCCCTGCGACCAATAAGATCACACAGATTGGGCCTCCTCCGTATTCCATCGGCCAGCCAGTGTCGGCTGGCAACTACAAGGAGGAGGGCCTTCTCAGTAGTTGCCCCGACCCTTTGGAACGAGCTCCCCGTGGAGATTCGTACCCTCACCACCGTCCAGGCCTTCCGCACAGCCTTGAAGAACTGGCTAGCCCGTCAGGCCTGGGGATGAAGATAGTTGCCCCTCCCGAATGATGAGTGCATGTTGGTTCTTGCTTTTATTATATGTGTCTTTGTTATTGTCTGCATTTCCCCTTCCCTGATTTATGTGAGCCGCCCTGAGTCCCCTCAGGGAAAAGGGCGGCCTACAAATGTCAATAAATCACTAAAAATCACTAAGGTGCTAGTCTAATTTCCATAAGATGGAAACTACAATTGATCAGCACTGCTTGGGACCCCCTATCCCATCATCTCATATATTTGGAGGAACCATTAAAAGAGGCTGGTGACATATAATCATTTTATACACATGAATGCATGTATATTATATTATATTATGCAAAAGAGTGCATCAATTGCAGAAAGTTGTCTCTTGGAGTAAATGTACATATAGTCTAAACAGATGCCTCCTTTGTGTTAACAAATATTTTCCTAAATAATGTTTGCCAATGGAAGTGCTGAATAATTCAAAGTAGCAGTTTTCATAGACGTTTACAGATGGATTAGCCCAAATGTAAAAAAATCTAGAAGTTTTTTGCCCGTCATAATATCTCTCTTAAAATATTTTGCTTTGAATAATATATTTCATGGCAATATTGCTTCTATTTAAAGCAAAGAGTTTGAGCTTGGCTTTGATCTAAAGCTTTTGATCTTGAAAGGTTATTGTGGTAGTAAAAATAGGGGCAGGCCAATGTCTTTTTTAAAAACCAAAAGCAATAAAGCTAAAGTGATGGTCAAGATTTAGTGAGCTCACTCGGCACACATTTATGTTTTGACATCTGTTCGTAAATGGCATCTAATTTCATGTAGGAGAAAATCTGCTCTGATCTAAATCTAAAAACTTAGAAACTTTCTTTCCCAGAATGTATAGGTACATCAGTCAAATTTTTGTGAGAGCATGAGTTTATGCATATACTTATGTCAGAAAACATTATGCTAAATATAATTATCTTGGAGGATTGATTGATTCTTTCTTTGCTTCCTTTTTTTACAAATATAGAATCAAGCTGCTTCAGTAATATAGTAGCACTTTTTCTGAATAATGCTGAAAGTTCACAACATAAGTCTTTTTATATAACTTAGTAGTCAGAAAAGGTGCTGCCATATTTGTCCCAAAGGTTTTCTCAAAAGACAAGTGGGCTTTCTTGGTTGTTGTTGGGTTTTTTTTTGGGGGGGGGGAGTTCTGAAGAAGCTTCAGATATTTCCATCTGTAAATATCTACGAAAACTGCTACTTTCATCCAAGAAGCTTCTTCAGTTTTGTGATTTAGTATGTGCTACCAGATTTGTGATTTATTTTTTTTGGGCCTCCATAGATTAACATGGCTCCTTTCCCACAAAAGTGTTAATTGTTTTAACGTGTTCTCAAAGTCAATTTTAATCTCCTAGTGCCTGTACATTTTCATATCAGTAGACAAATTTTTGGGAATGATATTTCAATAAGTTGGGTGGGATTTACTCTCAAGTAAACAAATTGGGGGGGGGGGATAGAGTAGCGTCTTTAAAGCAAAGCTTAGGCTTTGCCAAGCTGCAACTTAATGGAGGAATCAACTGTGGAATGGCCATGACTAATAGAAATGGCAAGAGTCCAGTAGCAAAAAGCAAAACTTAATGCTTGCTTTTAAGATGCACTTCAGAGTCTCCACGGAATTCATCTGATATGGTTTTGAATTCCACAGAGGTCAAGGAACTATTGGGAGAAGAAAGTTTTAAATTCTTCCTTGCCTTTTAATATGCTCAGCTAGAATGCTTGCTTATTGAATGCTCCGGCTTGGAATAAAAGGGAAGGCAGGCGGATGCTGGAGAAAGGACATTTCTGGTGTAAAATTGAATTTTGTCCCTACTCCGGCTACTACCTCGTTTTACTTTTTTGCCCCTTTAAAAATCCGTTCATGATTTGATTCATCTGCAACTTGAGGAGAAAAAAAGCCTATTACCATTATTTTAGTGTCAATTCAGCACATACGTTTCCATTGGCAATATTGACTCTAGCGCTGTATTAAATTGCAGAATTTTAGGGCAGAAATCCGGGGGGAAAACCCCCTTTTTTAGCTAAATGCAAACGACCTTTATCTCCGCTGCCCTCTCTTAAACCCCTTCCAGTTCCCCCTAATTCTTAAGGAATGCCCGTGTGTGACTGTGGAAAGGGTACCCTCGCTCCTTGTTAGTAAGAGCCCCCCTAACCAAGCAACATAGTCTAAAAAAACCACCCTCATTTTCATTGCCTTCATTCAAGTCCGGAGAAACCCGCTCTCCAAATTAAAAGATAAGGCAAGTGAAGGAAATCTCAGCCGCGGAATTCAAGCCGTGGACGAGCCGGGATCAGCGATCTAGGGATTCCCCACAGTCGGCCTAGGCGATGTTGACCACTCGATCCCCCTTCCATCCAGCTGCCTTGCGTCCAAGCGAGAACTGACAGCCCTGAACGCCGCCGTTCGCGCGGAAACGTCAGCCGGGGGTGGAGGGGCAGGCAAGGTTTTTTTGGGGAAGGGTGGGGGGAAGCGGCGGTTGCCTGTTGCTCGGAGCGCTCGACTTCAAACGGAGCCTTTTACGCAAGGCAAGTTGAACGGGGCGTAGCAGGAGACAGGCAGACGCTCCGCGATTGAAACGGTGACGTTCGCCGCCGAGAGCCGCTCCCCACCCCTCCGAGGTTACCTTTCGGGGATGGGGGAGGCGGTGGCGCGAACAAAGCCGACCGGGCTGGAGTATCCCCTTAAGGCAGGCTCCTCCTCCTCCTCTGCCCCCCTCTCCCTTTGATTTCGGAGGCTGGACCACGAGGGCGGGGGGGGGAGAGGAAGGGGTCCCCCCTGTTCCCTTAGGTGTTTTTGCTGCCTTAGGAGATCCCCGCGTCTTCCGCGGCAGGGCGAAGAAAAGCCCGAGGAAGCCGCGATCTTGCAGCCTGTTGCGCGGTGCGGGTGCTGGTGCTGGTGCAGGGAACCGTCTCTTGCGACCGGACCCCTTCGCTGGTGCCGCTGCCGGGGCCGCCCTATCCAGGGTAAACACAAACAGCCCGACCCTCGTGTGCTGCGGGAGCAGCCGGCGGCCGTTGTAAGGCAGTGGCGGCGGGCAGGCTTTTTTTTTTTTTTTTTTTTGAACGGGTGTGTGTGTGTCGGAGCGCCGCCGGGGCAGAGCGATTCCCTCGCCCAGGCGCCCGAGCTCGGGCTGAGCGGTGGGGAAAGTTTTGTTCAGGTCGCAGCCGATCTTGGACCTTTGTGAGGTGCTGGATCTTGGGGGATCTCGGAGGCCGGGGGGCCACGATCGGGGCTCTCTCTCTTTCTCTCTCTCTCTTTCTGCGGTCCAGATCGCCTCGAATAAACTTGCGCTTTTATTTTGTCTTCCCCCATGTAGCCTTTGCTGGAAGAGAGCCGCGTTTGGCAAGAAGGTCGACTAGCCCAGCAAGCGAAAGAAGAGGTAAAAGAGGCGCTTTTCTTTGGGAGTTGGTAGTTTTATATCGTGGATTATTATTATTACTATTATTATTATTATTATTACTACTGCTGCTGCTGCTGCTGCTGCTGCTGCTGCTACTACTACTACTACTACTACTACTACTATTACTATGTGGTTAATCTTTGGTGAGATTTACAGCCTTTGGGGCTGGTTGGTAGCTCAACAGCTCAAGTCCTAACCAAGGACCTAGGAACTGTTGGATGATGATGATGATGATGATGATTATTTCCTCCGATTCTGGCTTGCACCTCTGTCTGCCTCCTCCCTCCGCCCTCCAATCCTGAGATATTGGTATATCTGCGAGGAATGACATGAATAAGCTGCCTTTTCATGTTATTTTGACCCCTTAATCCCACCCTATTTAGAGGGGCGAAGAAGGAGCCGCCGATATTTATTCTTTTTAAAATGCTTCTCTCCTTGAAGATGTTGTTATTTGAAGAAATCGCATCTTTCCCTCTCCACCTCCACCATCATCACTTTTCGCCCCATTCCCGTTCTGTAACAATTCCACAAATGTTTTTGGTACAGCTGAGGGTTCTTTTATCCTACAGAGATGTCTGCTGGGCTACTCTAGATTATAACAGCAGGCAGAAATTACTGTATTTGGCGAAGGTGGTGGAGGGAATAGAGAGAAGAAAGCTTTTCTGACCAGGAAGAAATAGCTAAATGGATTAAACTGAGAACATGATACTGAGGACTGGAACAGTATTTCTCTTCCCCATTTCTCTCTCCTATTCTCCCCCCCAGTTCCCCTCCCCTTCCAGTGAAGAAATGGAAAATTGTATCTTGAGTCTGTTTATAGTTTCTTACTCATGCTGAGTAATTGCACTCAAGTTGCGTCTTCTTAAAAAAGCTGTATGGTTTTGACATGTAGGTCGTAAAATGGATTCAGATAAATCAGAGGTTGAGAAAAGGCACTCGGAGGAAAAGGCGAAGATCAGAAGAAGTCACTTTCCAAAAGGTACCGGCTCCTAATGATCTAATAGGTCATAATGTGTTGTGTCATTTGTGTTTTTATGGTACATTATGCTTTTTTTTAAAAAAAATTTTTTTTGAGTGAAATGGAAATGCATTGATTACGTGCCATCAAGTAACTCATGTAATACTATTCCTGGAAGCATTCTTGTGCAAAGGACCATTTGTGAACAGAGCTGCAAAATATAGGTTAGGTGCTCTATTTATAGTGAAGGAGAATTAGAAAGGAGTTTATGGAAAATAACATGCGTTTTTGTTTCCTCCTCGTGCGACCTTTAAACGCTTCTGATTCAAATAACTAACATGCTTTGAAATAAGCAGTGTAGCAAATTTCAAATTGATGTATGACTTTCAGGTTAAAAGAATTTCCCAGATAGGATTAATCAGTATTAATTATGTATAAGGCTCCTAAGATTTCATTTTTTTAAAAAATATGGATATTGGGTTTAAATAATGTTTGATGGACTACTTGGTAAAGTTGAATGTACATATGGGTTGTTCTGGCAGCGTCTTGTAATTTTTTTGTTTGCTTAAATTACATTTCCTGTTCTCAAGAATAATATTGCTGGACATATGTTGTCTTTTATACCTGTCTTACTATGAAATATAGGAATCCTAATGTATAACTAAATAAATGGAAAGGTTTTGGCAAGGTGGTTTACTGAGGATTTTCTGCATGTTTATTGAGGCCTACTCATCAAGTGTGGCTTATACTCCTTGATAATGATACTGAGGGCCAAATCCATTTAGATAAAGTTCTATCCTTGAACTGTTTTCAACAAAGTCAAATTTTAGTGATTTCCGTGAAACTTCCTTCCAAGTAATTTTACATCTCTGCCTTGTGTTGTGAATTGTGTTGTTGTTCAAAGCTGATTGGTAAGTAACAATGTTGAGCTGTTTGTAGAATTGTTAACACCAGAATTGCTTCTTTATTAAGTTGAACTACTGAAAAGCTATATATCTTTCTTCAGTACGATTTAAACGCAGTATGTTATTTTGTAGCTTGACAGTACAGCTAGAAAGTCTGATGAATCATCACTGTTTCTGTAGCCAAGTTCTTGCTGTTAATATGAGTGCCAGCTCCAGGGTTATGTTGCCTTAGTATGGACATTGCTCTGTTTGACAGATATCTCTGGATAGTACAGCTGAGCATGGCATGGGGAGAGATTGGCAATTGAAGAATAAACTTATGAAGTCATAATATTCTGAATTTCAATTAGTTGACTACTGTTGTAGCACAGGCTGTCATAATATAATATATTCAGCTGGAATTTTTACTGGACGTACATAGTAAATCAATTTGTATTTAAGATGCTACTTCACTTTTTGTTCAGATTTGCTTAAAAGTCTTGATCAAAAATTAGTGTTTCAACAAAATGAAATGTAAAATAACCAATAGTTTCATCAAGTAGATGAACAGTGTTACTTGTTTATTCTTATATAGAAATAACCATCTTTTGTTTTAACATAAATATGTGTATAAGAGTTATGGATCTCACAGTGATGAAATCTGAAAAAATAAGGTTATCAGAATAGTATCTCATGTGATTTATTGACCAGAAAGCAGTTAGAATTTCAGAGTTTTAAATAGGTAAAGTTTAAAATCTGGAACAATCTGTTTTGTAGAATGAACAGTGATCCCTGAAATTTTTCCAGTATTGATGGCCAGAAGTGTGAATTTTACTTATTTATATTCTGTTTGTGACCTGAAAATGGGATGACCATATTAGCCTTTGTTTAAAATTTATAAATAATAAGTAATAATAATAGGCAGATATTAAAAAATAACACTAGAATATTGTTATAATGGAACATTAAGCTGAAGTTTTAAAAGCCTGCATTAAATCAAAACAAAACAAAACATTGATTTAAAAAATATTTAGATAATAACAAAATACTAGTAAATAGGAAATAATAGAATTCCCAGATAAGGTTCCCTTCTGATTGAAAGGTGTTATTTCATAAATGTTTCAATTATCATAAAGCAATTATTGTAGAAAAAAGATAAACATTTGCTTTATCGGTAGGTGAATAAAGAAGATTTAAAAATAGTGAGGTCCTTCAAAAGTTATGCCATTACAACACCATTAAAATTACTGAACATAATTTATCTCTGTTTCTATCTTATGCTTTATAGCTTTAGTGTTGTTTTTCATGACTTTTAAAAGGAAGATCTTCAACATGGTTACTATGTTTTGAAAAATTATTTCCCTGGAGCAGAAGCTTAGGAAAACTTTCCCAAGAACTGGGAACTATGAGGGTATGTTTCAGTAGATGATAATTTTATAGCTATCCCATATTAGAAGTTGTAGGACAGAAGCCTCGAAGGTATCACATAATTAGGTCTAATCCTGGAAAAGTAGGGCCTATCATCTATGAATACCAGTGAGTGTAATTCTAACTTGCTGAAGCTAAGGGGCTTTGCTTGTACAGGTATTTAAATGGTAATTTCCATCTTAACCTGCCTCTTTGTTATTTTTCAGTTTACTCCTTTATCTCTTCTGTTTGTTGTGACATTGCTTGCTGTGGTCAATTATCTAGTTTAGGGCCTACTGTACTTCCTGTTGTCTTGTATATGATACTCTTTTTTCACTTTATTTCTTTCTCTGATTTGACTTTTCCCATTATTTTTCAAGGTCTTAATACTTGACTGCTTATTTTTTTCTCCTCCCCTTCTCCCCCCCCCCCGTTTTCTTGAGTTCTATCACTTCCATATTTTCCCCTTTTTTATTCCTATTGATTCTTTTTTGTACAGATCAGTTGAATACACAGTCTAGTGTTTTGACCTTTTAATTAGCTTGGGCTTTGCTTTTCTATTACAAGGAGGAACATTTCAAAATAAAGGATGACCAAAATTGTTGTAAAGTCAGGCTGAGGAGAAAAACCTGAAATCTTTGAAGAAAAAGATATCTAATTTAAATCTATACTTTTCAATGATAACACGTTATAAAACGTGTTATAAAATAGGAAGAAAAGTTAGGCAAGATTACGAACTTCTTAACATAATTACTGTATATTATTCTTTGCTTCATGATGAGACCAGCCATAATGCTAATGAGTTCCTAAAATAAATTGGGAGATTATTGAAGGATAGCCTATAACTGCAAGACACTAAATTGATATAGTGGGGATATAGCAGTAGGAAATTTAATTGCAAACATCTGTTGGGCATCCAATTTGAAAAGCTGGCGTACTTAAATGCCATATTAATTTAGGACGAAGACAAAAGAATTGTAATTTAAATATTTGGCTATCAAATATGTACAGCGATTACTGTATTATTTGAAAGTAATAGGTAATCATTGATTAAACATATTGGCATTCAATTTAAAAACATATTATTAAAAACTAAGAAAAGACTTGCTCAGTTTTAGCCAGGGAACACCATAACAGATAGCTGGAATATACGTAGGTACAGATATATCATTTAATGGTATCCTGTTAGACTTCGTACTTTCAGAATGTGTTTCACAATCTAAAGAAATACTCAATTCTAAATTATTTTGTTTTTAAATGCCTCTTTCATAACAGGGGAAAGGTGAGAAGAATGAAGACATATACTTTTGGTTATTGCATTTACATAGACAGTATAATTATTATTTTCACGTTTGCATCTATAAATTAGTGTGTACATTTCCTGGTTGTATTAACATCCATCTTAACAGTTTAGCTTGGTGCCACGCATATTTATTTTGCATTGTTTTAATGATTTTTATGTTTTATGATATACACTGCCCAGAATAACTTGTTGAGATGAGCATCTATAAAAATCAAATAAAATCAATAAAATATTGAAATATGAGCTCTTTTTTATTTTTATTTTTGCTTATTTGTTTCTTTTTTTTGTGATCTTTAAGTGACTACTTTATGTCTTAAGGGGAATTGCTTATAGTATGTATATATTTTCAACATATGTTGTTTCTTTGAGCACTGTAAATCCTTTGTTCTTGTTATTTTGCAGCCTTTTTTAAGGTGGGCCAATAGATGCTTTGCATTTGTTGTATTTTAGGGTTATATGGTAATTTCCAGATATTATTTGATTTTGTATAACACTGGTATATTTGAAAAAGAGAAAGTATTTACTTACCTTCATATTTTTGAAGCCAGAAATTGTCTTAAGTCACTTTCCTTTTGTTGAAATTAATTGCATGTCAATAATTTAAAAATTATTCAATTCAGGGATGTGAATGAAGAAAAGATTGACCATAATATTTGGAAATGAGACCTGCTTTTTTCCTCGATTTGAATTTGCTGTTGTTTTTTATCTTTTCAGAATAGTTCTGCTTTCAACCACTTAAATTGTGTCATTTTTAAAAAGAAGGCATTTTCATTTATATGTTGCACAGAGCAATGTCATCAGTAAAATAATTTTGGGGGAGTCTAAAGACCTTCGGGAATATTGCTAAAACACAATCTCAATTTCTTCTCCAATCTGATATGACCCTTTTAAAATAAAAAGCACACAACTAGCACAGCCACATGTTGGGAGTAACTTGAAGTATACGTAGAATTACATCACTTAATCAACATGGTTCATTGCCAGCAGCCATTTTCCTGCTGCTCCGTGAAAGATTAAGACCACCTTAATGTGAAACACAAGTTTTACTGAAGAAAGACAGACAACAGAAGTGTCGGATCTTTTATTTGAAGGGAAAATTAGCCACATTGCTGCAGCAGAGCTTTTTAGTTGCTTGTGCCTCTTCTTCAAAGCATTTTAATGAATTACAGTTAACACGAAACCATGTCAAGTTAGGAGCCACCCAGAGTTCCTTGGCTGAGTTGGGCGTCTACAGAAATTGAATAAATAAATAAAATTTCTGCAGATGGTGATGCCCTGGTAGGAAGGTATTTGGTGGTGCTGTCATTCGTGCAAATAGCTGTTCCAATACATCTTGGTATGCTGCCTTTAAGTCTAGAGTCTAGAAGTACATTTTGTTTTCTTTCCTTCGTTAATGGAACTTTGGAGATGTCTATTGAAGCTGGGCG